AATAATCCGAAGAAATAATCCGAAGTTATCCGAACGGGCCCTAAATTGGTGAGGTACCCTCAGACATGTATGTACCCACATGTACCTACATATACCTACATGTATGTGCCTACAATAGTATGTACAAGTAGGGACTGATAGGGTCTTTGAATATTCTACATGCCGGTCCTTGATATTTAACCAGGCCGTGCTTTCACGCCTTGTTTCTACCTGTAAAACCAGGCTACATATCCATCCATTTGTTGAATCTCATCTACAGAGCGTTTTGTCTACTAGAGTAGGTTTAGTAAATACATACATACGCCCTTGGGCCGGTGAGACACGTAGAATACAGGACTTCCTATTCAAGCAAAGCCAAGTCACGTTTCCTCGAATAATAGAGCGTGGCTTAGTGATGAAGCACCAGGCTCAGTGACTTTGCCACTGGAAATCATTACTGAGATAGGAAGTCCTGGATTCTGCGTGTCTCACCGGCCCAAGGGATAAGGATCAGACCATCTGTGCATGTATGCAAGACTCCACCCATTCACTCTACTTCATAGCGTTTCTGAACACAACCGCTATTGCATGCCATACAAAAATGTAGTCTTGGCAGTTTTTGGTGTGTGTATGCAATATTGGTTGTGTTCAAAAACGCTATGAAATTGCGAGTAGAGTACCGATATTTCTCGCGAGTACGCCCATGGGCTTAATTAAAGCAAAGTGGTGGTAGAAAATCGCTTGCTGATTGGCTCAAGTCACGGGAATATGCATACACCACCAGTTTTCCTTGATATGGGCGTACTCGCCAGAAATATCGGTACCACTCATGCACCTATCTCGTGCTCATGCGTAGTGAGTGGTTCTAGCAAACTTTACTAGAGTACATACATGTATGTACTCGGGGCAGGCATGAAGAACCTGAACATCGTTTTTTTTGGTAGCAACCACTTTGACCCTGCTAGCGCGTTTTATGTTCAGGTTCTTCTTAAGTGCCCGAGTATATGTACTGTATTATCAAGGTAAAAAGCAGGATCTAAACTATGGTGCAAGAGGACCTCCTCAACCCACCACTTTAGTAAAATCTTTCATTGGCCCCGGAAAGCAAACATCGAGGAGCCTCACCTTTAATCCGACTTTATGGCCGTCAGAGCCAATAAGGTATTGTACTGAGCTGATGTGAACAGGGTTGACGAGGTCGCCCAAGGCCTCTCGATAAGATTGCTATCTCACTACTACATGTATCAAATCAGATAACGGGTATGTAACACTCGCCAAGAAACAGCCCTGCATGTTACACGAAACAAGCAACGCCGAAAAAAAATTCGCCTCTCATAGCCTGCAGTGACCTCAGTGAACACCTCCTCCGACAACAACAGCACAACAGTACAACATCATCGCCACCAACACACAAAACACTTCAGCAGATAGGCAATCATGTTTGCCGTCAATGGCTGGAACCTGGCAACGGCCCCCAAGACCCAGGTTATTGAGACTGGCAAAGCTTCAAAGAAGCACACAAATAACCCCAAGAAGAAGAAATCTGGAAACACCGCATCCGATACGAATGCCATTCCACTTTCAAAAAAGCGGAATCTTCCAGGTATGGATGAAGCCGTCGAGGCTGCGGACCCAGAATCCGAGCCAGTCCCCAATAAAAACAATAATAGCAACCACAACACATCTGCAAAGAATACAGTGGTGACTGCCGATAATGTGTTGGCACTCTACGAGAAAGTAATTGAAGGCAAGGCAGCCAAGAGGTCCCGCGACAGAAAGAAGAAGAAGGAGAAGAAGGAAAGGATTGCAGGAGAACAAGACACTGCGACCACAAAGGATGATGATCCCGTAGCACCAGCGAGGGAGAAGGAAAGCCGGAAAAAGAAGCGCGGCAAACCAGACGACGGAGAGCAATCCGGGATTCCCAAAGACGAAGCGGCACCCCCGAAAAAGAAAAAAAAGCAAGACAACAAAACGATCTCAGACCTCGCGACGACCACCTCCGCTGCGGCAGCCCCCGATCCTCCCGCTGCGTCCGCACCCGCACTCTCCACAATCCCAGCACTGACCCCTCTCCAACAGAAGATGCGCGCTAAGCTCACATCTGCGCGCTTCCGTCATATCAATGAAATTCTCTACACCACACCCTCAAACTCTTCACTCTCACTCTTCACCTCCCAGCCCGAAATGTATCAGGAATACCATGCCGGTTTCCGAAGGCAGGTCGAGGTGTGGCCAGAAAACCCCGTAGATATATTCATCAAAGCTTTGCAGGACCGTTCAAAAATCAAATTTGAGCGAGGACACAACAAGAAATGGAACAACACGGAGAAAGGTCTCCTCCCTCTACCGAGAGATCGCGAGGAGGGTTGGTGCACAGTCGCAGACTTGGGGTGCGGTGACGCAAAGATCGCTGCAACGATTAATCACCAGAAACCTCGCGGGAAGGGCAAAGTTAGGGTTTTGAGCTACGATCTGCAGGCTTCAACCAAGGATGTAACAGTGGCTGATATCGCGCACCTCCCATTGGAACCTGAAAGTGTTGACATTGTTATATTCTGTCTCGCACTCATGGGAACCAATTTCCTCGATTTCGTTGAGGAAGCATATCGTGTGCTACGATGGCGTGGGGAGATGTGGATCGCGGAGATCAAGAGCCGCTTCCATCGCCCTGTGTCAACCAAAGGTATAACAGTTGGTAGCAAGAAAGGCAAGAAAGAGGAGGAGGATGATGGCGAGAGTATCGAGCCAGATGGCAGCAAGAAGCCGGATACGGAGACATATAAGTCATTCATCGACGCGCTTTCCAAACGTGGGTTTACTTTACGGGGACAGGTCGACTCTGGAAATAAAATGTTTGTTCGTATGGAGTTTGTGAAAGTTCCTGAGCGTGAGAAGAGGATCCAAGACGATGAAGAAGAAGGCGAGAAACAGGGACAAGGGGAGACCTGGAAGGCGAAAAAGAAAAAGTCAAAGTTCTTGGAGGGTGAGGTAGATGAGAGCAAGATTCTCAAGCCATGTGTGTACAAACTAAGATAGCCGAGAAGAAGGAAACAGAATACTTCAGGTAATCATAGCGATATGCGTTGTAATATTAGTTTTAAAATCAGTTTCTTCCTCAAAAATTTAGTTTCCGTCTACCGAGTGATAGTCTGTGTTCATGATAATTCTATCATTTCTGGTTACCCTAACCCTGAATACTCACGCAGGGCAAGAACCCATTGATTGATGGCCATGTATCTAGGAACTCATGAATTTACCCACTGTCACGAGGTACTCTACTTCCTAGTAAACGTTATGTGCATGCTTACTACGTGCATGACTGCTGTGCTTGCTGGTATGTACATGTACCTACACGCCGCAGGTAGCACGTACATACGTTTGTACGACTAAAAATATCCCGCAAATATGTACTCTTCTCTACTACAGGATACCGCCAAAACTCGAAAAATTGGCTATCTCCGCCCAGGGATTATCTCTAGACCGGTTAGCTAAAAGGTATCGATCAACCTTAGAAGTATCCGTTTGTAGCAAGTTTGATCTTGTATGCATAGCCAATTTTCGAGTTTTGGCGGTAGCCATTCACAAGGGGTTTTGATTTTATTGATTTTCTAATATGGGTCCGTGTGACGTACGTCGGCCTTTAACTCGTTGCCCTATGCCCTATGCCCACCATGAAGCGTGGCAGCATTGCTGAACACCGGCCAATTTTAGTACTCTGTTCTAATCACATCTCTCGATCCTAATTTGCCAATTTCTGCGTTCGTAGAGTAGAGCACTCTTGTGCATGGCGTCAAGGTTTTATTTTAAGCGGTGAGACTCAAATTGCAAATGTGTCAACGACTGCATATAACATTCTCACTCTCTACTGATAGGGTACGATCTACAATCGGTTTCCGATGAAGAATATTATCGTGTTCCGGCAAGCTTATCGGTGATATGATAGTTGTGTCATTCATGTTTGTATGTTGATTTATCTGGTGGTCCCCGCGTTTGAGCTAGTTTGAGACGGGTCCGGAGCATAAGCCGGTCCCATCCCAAAATTTGAGCCTTTTGAGCTTGTTCGAGAGTGCGAAGATATATCAACAGGTTATTTTCAGTAATATTAAAATGAATCCTTTAAGTATATCACCATCATTAAATACACAACTTTTGGGTTTATGAGGGTTTGGGTCTTTTTAATTTGCAGCCTGGATCAACTCGAGAATACTGATACCCCGACATCTAATTTATGTAAAGCCTGGTTCTAACTACTAATATTATCAATCCTTTACATATTCAGTCTGCAGTGATGATGAAATATGTAATCTGGTCCATGCGTACATGTAGGGTACGCTCATAGTTAGAGCGAAAAGGATTTATCCCCTTAGTTTTCAAAATATCAAAGAAATATGGAGATAATATCTCATGATCTAGTTACAGTATGCTACATACATGTATTCACAAGATCCTGATTATCTCACCAGCTTTAAATACTGAGTTATGTGTGTACTACTTTTAACTAACTCTTTACCGCTAAAAAACAGGTCGTTTAAACGGTATTGACTTCACCGCCGGCACCGTCAGGAAGATTTCTGTGTTAAATAGTTTGCATACATGTACTTAGGTGTTCCGTAAAAGGTCGCCCCTCTTTTCACGACCTTTTACTAAATCGAACGTATTAGTATATATATATATATAGAATCACATATAGACAGAGAACTGCCCCTGGTCCTGGAAAGGAATGGAGGTAGGTGTTGTCATATAAATTGTAGAAATAGTCTGGTATATTGAGCCACCTAGATCTTTAGAGAGTAAATTATAAAATTGTGTTTTGGGAATTGCATATCAAGATTAGGAGCCCTTTATTGAGAAGGAAAAACCGAGATATCCCATGCCCATACTGTTTTGTGTATCAAGACAGCGCACATGCATAAGATAAAAAAAAGTTTGGGAACGAGACTAGAATCGTACTTGTACCATCAACGTTAACATTACTTATAACTACCGCAGTAGATAGAAGCACCCAAAAAATAGCTTGAAGCCCGATGCGGGGGTCGAACCCGCGACCTTGAGGTAAACTTCTAGAGGGTACGATCCCGTAAAAGCCACACGCTCTACCACTAAGCTAACCGGGCCTAGTTTAACATCGAGAGTAGTATATATTTTCAATGAAGAAAATTCAACCGGATCCTCTATCTGTTCTTTTCATCAGCACATCTGTTCTTTTCATCAGCACATCTGTTTTTTCCATCAGTACTGCATACATATGCATGTAAGTGCTATGTAGATAAGTGCATGTATATACCTCAAATCGGTATACTCCCTCCACTACATGCACCATACCAAATAATTATCCTCTACCGCCACGTGATTGCCTTTAGGTGGCGACCGTTATTCAATTATTAACACAACTATCAAACGTATACATTGAAACCCTTTTCAAGAGTAAGCACATATACGAAACCCCCACTAACGTTTAATATGTTTGCCGTTTGGAATATAGGAGCTCAGCCCAAATATGACAATCGAGACGGCATCTAGTCGAATCGAACGAACACCTGAACGAACTTCAGAACAGGCAATCATGCTCAGCCCCGAGAGAGAATTAGAAGTGAGTATTTAGCAAATCGTTCCAAGTATATAAGATCTTTATATCAATTTGAGAAATAACAATACCAAGGCTAGCTTTTCCGGAGTCTCTGTGTCTCCACTCGAGGGTCGTTCCGGGTCGGAGCCAGCTACTGTCGGAAATGTAAATACAGCAGCGCCTTCTGAATATAGGTCGTTAAAAGAAGTCTTGACCCCATCGGCTGGGTCAGAGCACCTGAATATGGATGTAACAATCGGAATCACCGGGATACCAGATAACTATTCCGATAGTGCTCCAAATACTTACACAGGTCCAACACTTCAACCGCTGCTAAAGCTTACCTCTGCTACTGATAGCTCTTTGGATCGGGAACACTACATTCGTGTCTGTATTGATACAAGACTCGAGATGACGATTATTTCTTCTGATTACGGTGCAATAGTACCATGGCCGGATTATACTGTTACGTGGGAACTCTTTGGCATTAATTTTATGCTCGAAGGAACTCAGATATGGCATCGAGCTGATCTTCCTACAAAAGGAGTCGATGGAATATTTGGCGTAGGATTTCTTCAGAGATTCAATTATATGTCCTTCGTACCCATATCGGAAGGATATATTATGCCATCAAAATTTTCACTCTACCCTCTACTCCCCTATGATTCAAGTGATCAACGAACACTGAGAATCTATACGGATATTACAGTGGTCGGTCAAGGAGAGAAGTCATGGAGACCCATCCTTGGTATCGGCGTCTTCCTTGGGCCAGAGGTATCTTTAAACACATGGATTCCCTGTTTCGGTGACCATCTCCTATTCTTTTCAAAATCAGAGAGGGATAGACAAAGGATGTCTGAACTAGTTATGTTTGAGACCTTTTTAGAGGTTATTGAATCCTTGAGAGGGAAGTCTAACATAAATCCATTTGTTCGGGTCGAGCTCTATACAAATCAGGAGCCTCTCGTCACGTGGGGGAAGTCCATATCAGATAGTCAATGTAACCAAAAGTGTGGGCCTTATCCTAAGAGCTACGATCGGTTTATACGCTTAAGAAAGCGACTTGCCATCGATGTGGGTTCCAAAGAAAATGACTGCCTCGAGATACTATCTTACAAAGATAGTAATGATTCAAATAGAGCTCAAATCCTACTCGGTTATGAACAAGCTACAGCTCTTGCAGAACTTGCCATAAAGAGTTCAAAATCTCAAAAAAATGTCTCAAACCACGACTGTTACCTAAGATGTCTTCCCTGTGGTCACATTCGCATTCCCAAAGAAATCGTGGACATGACAATGAATAAAATATTACTGGCTTATCAAACATCCCACATAGAGGACGATAAAGCTGGGTCGGTAGAGGCCAGTTCGTACGATGGAGCTCCCACGCGGTGTTACCCAGAAATATCCCATCTAAGCAGCTCACGCGATAATCTTAATTCGAAGGGGCCGAATAATGCGAAATGTATTGTGTCAAGTGAAGGGACTAGTCCAGAGATATTTAGGGAGGGTTCGAATAATCTGCCGTGCCCCTTGAGATTGACAGATGGGACTGAGAATCGGCCGTTTCATAATGGGATACCTGAGTTCGGAGTAGATCATGGAACGGATATTGATGGGCAACTTACGGAGGTAGTTTTTTCTAATGGGGCACATGAGCAGGGGACGTATGAAATAACAGGTCCTATTGAAATAATCGGGGGGTATCAGGTACGTAAACCAGAAATAAACAACCCAATTGCAAGGGAAGTGACCAAAGATTTTAATTGGAGAAAAGACCGTTAGAGAGATCGAGAATCAGAATTGTTACCCGTCAGCTAGGACGCATGCAAATGAAATAATCCTAAAGGCTCAAGCTGAGGCAGACAAGATTGTCTCAGAAGCTCAGTTGATATGGGCCGAGGGGATTGACTCCCATATCATGGCTTCAGCCATGGCGACCAAAACTCGCTTGGACGCTGAAGCTGATGCGCAAAATATCTGGTTAAAAACGCTTAGGGAGGTTCGAAACATGAAATCTAAAGCACTTCAGGATATCCGTAACAGCGAAGATGATTTGAGAAAGAGGTTCGGGGTCGCACATCCAGATTCCGACCTGGTGGCACCACAGCTGCAGCGTATCGGGTATTATCCTCCCAGATTGATTATCGATGAATTAAACGAGAGAGCAAAAGAAATTTTGGAAAGTGCCGAAGGAGTGAAAAAAAATATACTAGAAAAGGCAGTCGAATCAGTAAGTCTTGCAGAAGAAGGAAAAGGTGATGAGGTCTGTAAAGCCATCACCAACGGGTCGCAAAACATTAAGTTGGTCAAGACGTACTTCGCCGAGCAAGCGGGAAAGGTCAAATTTGCTGAAGAAGTCCGGAAAAACGTCGAGAAGAAGATGGGTGCGTTGGAATTAGAAACTGAGCAGCTCATAAAGAATAACGCACGGATAAAAATGGAGACTGAAGAAATATTGAAGAAAACAGAGGAGAGGATTTCGGAAGCAAAGAAGGAAAATGAAAAAATCCTAGAGAATAACAAAAGGATGGAAGAAGACATATTGGCGAAGGCAATGGAAGTTAGGATGCGCTCCGAAGATATGACCAAGGAAGCTATCAAGATGCAAGAACGTATAATGGCTCAAGCCGAGAAAGTCAAGAAGGATGGCGAAAGAAGTAAGCTCCAGGGCCAAAGAATCATTGAAGAAGCGAAGGTGGAAGCCGAAGTGATAAGAAAGGAGGCTTCCACCATTATGCAGCAAGTAGTGAAAGAGAGAGTTATCGAAGAGGAACAAAAAGCAGTACAGAAGTTAAAGTATGATCATGAGATGGAGGAGTTGATGAGGATACATCATATGCGCCTCATGGAATCGCAAGAAATCATCAGAGTGCAAGGAATATTGATTAAAAAACAGACCATGGATTTAGCAGCCAGGAAAACTGTTGCCGGACTAGTAAAGGAGAAAGCTGAACTTGTGCAGATCGACTCAGACAAGGGTAAAAAATACATGGAGTTTATAAAGGCAAAGAAAGAGGCCGACAAGGCGAGGAAAGAGGCCGAGAATGCGGAGAAAGAGGTTGAGAAGGTGAAGAAAGAGGTTGAAGCGGTTAAGAAAGAGATTGAAAAATTGAAGAAGATCGCCGAAACCTTGGAGCGAGATATCGAGGCTAAGAAGACAGAAACTGAGAAAGCAAAGAAAGAGGCTGATTTGGTAAAAGAAAGCATTGAAAATGCACGGAAGGAAGCTGATTTAATCAGAACAAAAGCAAAAACGGATGCGGCAAATATTACAGAGCAAGCCTTAAAAGTAAAGAAAGATGCTGAAGATTTAAAATCACGTGTGGTGGTAATCAGTGAAAAAATAAAGGCTGAAGCCGGAGAAGAGGCATCAAAAATCAAGGCACATGCGAATAAAATCATGCGAGAAACGGAGGCAAAGAAACGGGAGGCGACAGAAATGTCCAAAAAAATTGTGAACGAGGCTGAAGTAAAACGTCAGGTAATTGAAGACGCTGGAATCGCATTTGCAATAACGAAGAACGGCGAGCAAGAAGAGGCTTTGAGAATCCAAGAAGAGGCAGCTTCAAGGAAAATAGCGGAAACAAAAAAACTCTGCGAAGATATGAAGAGGGATAGCACAGAAAAAATCAAGAATGAATATAAAAAAATCGAGGAAGAGCAGGAGAAGGTTGGAAGAGCGAAGAAGAATTTACTCGAAGAGGTTGCCTCCCATAAAAAGAAGGCAAAGGATGAAGCACGTAAAGTACTGGATAAGGCCAATGAAGAGGCAAATCGGATTATTGAGAACGCTATGAAAGTGGAAGACGATTATCCAATTCGCGGCGATGTCCTTGGTAGCGCCCTTCCTCTTACTCCTGAGAGGTTTTACAAGATGTTTTTAGAACCCAAGGATTCAGAGGATGACGGACCGCTGTCTGCCGAAGATTTTACAGAAAGACTGGAAACTGCTGAGGCAGAAATTACTCTTGGTCAAATTATAGATCACTGCCCCGATGCAGCGAAGGCCTTCTTTAGGGAATGTGAGCGAGAGGAGCGTTTCGTTCATAGAATTGAGCTTTATAAGGATGTCGTTGATGAACGTCTGAAATTCAAAAAAGGGGAGAGAATAATTCCATTCACGAGATAGGGCCTGATTGGTACCAAGGCTTTGGCGGGAATAGGTATTTTTTTTGTAGCTTATTTTAGCTCTACTAGCTAGTGTTTTTCTTTTGTTTGAACAAGCTGATCCTATAACTACATGTATGGCTCTAAGAAATCAAGTAGCAATAGATTTTCTTTAGCCACCGTTTATTTCTTGTGCACGCAGCCATAATCAATGAACTATCGCCCAACTAATCAATTGAGCATGTCTGCATGCAATCAATGAATTAAACCAAAAAAAAAATCAACTCATATACGTTGCAACCCACCAAAATCGGTACACACAACCTGTCTAACATTATTACTCCATTGGTCGGGTACCTACCCTACATGGGTGATGTACGTACATACATCTTAAGCTAACTAGAGTGCATATATACATGTAAGTTACGTTACAACCCT